GTTTGTAAGTTATTTTTGAATAAATAAGAACGAACACAAATAATAGAAAAAGAATTTATTAGCATAGATAGATGGTGGCTAGCAGTGAAATAGATAAACTATGTGTTTCGTCCTTTTTGAAACTTGTCAGCTAGATGTTGATGTTCAGTTCCCAATATGAATACAGTACTATTTGCTTTTAGTGCCATCGCGCTATCCACTTAACTTTCGAGTCCAGAAAGCCATTGGCTTGTGCAACAGTATAAAATCTAATTAATTTATGTTCATTATTTGAATCTTCCCGTTGATGTTTAGGACTGAAATCTATCAGTCACTTTGGCATAGGCTAGCAACTATCCAATATGCACTAATAATGCTATATCGATGCAGTTCACACAGAATGGGCATTTGCCGAAAGAGAATGATTGATTGCAGTCTTAAACATCAATGGGAAGATTTCAATAACCAACAGAAATGAAGAAGACTTTATTTAAAAATTTGACAGTTACAGTTGTATTGTATATCTGTGATATTTTAATAACCAAGTGTTAAATAACACATGATTGTATATTTATGGATTCATTACAAACCATTATGGAAGTAATTAAGTAATTAAGCTCAACCAGAGATGTTTATGTATAGTCTAAATACTCAACTATAATTAGACGATAATTAATAAATCAAATAAAATGACCGTTTATTAAATGTTATATCGTTAAGGAACTATAACAATAAGTCTAAGATGATTTCTAAATCATTTAAAGTTACTAGATTTGATTTAAATCACAAAACTAACTAAAGATAGAAGATAACATATCCATAAACACTAGTAATTAGTCTAGCCCTTAGTAATTCAGCAGATAATTAAATCTTTGAAACAACTTCATTTTAAAAAAAAAATGCAAGAAGTCTACTGAATCACTTGATAAGAATAAAAACTTTTTAGTAAAGGAAATTTTCCTAATGAGGATGTTGGTTTCTTAAGTTGTATAATCTGTGTAAATTTATAAGTGGTAGTCTATAATAAAATGAAGGATAGTTACATAATTAAACAAATTTATCAAAGTTAGACAAACTTTTCTCAAATAGAATAGTCTTTTTAAAAAAAAAACATATGTTGCATACTTTTATAAAGTATTCAGGAAATTATCAAATATTTTCAAGTGTGTTGATGATAATAGTCTGTCAATAGAAGTGTTCCACTTAATTTAACAAATCGATAAAAATTAAAACTACCAAACTTTTTCAAGTGCTGAACAAAAAATGAGCTATTATTGCATTATTTGACATCGCAATACAAAACTTATTAATGATAAAAAGAAGTAGTCATTTATAAGAGAAACGTAAACTACAGCAATCTTCCTTACGTAGTTGAAAAAGATGAAAAGCTAGATAATGACTGATACTTAAGATTTATACAAATTACAAGAAGGACATGGACTATGCAAAGATTAAGAAGTGAACACAATTGTTTCGTTAAACAGAGATCAGGTTGAAACTGAGAGATTGTTATGGCTTCAACGATGTAAAATCCCTGATCCAAACGTTCTTTGAACCGGTTATTTAGATCATCTAAATAACTTTGAATGATGACCAGGACTAATCAGATGTTCAACGATTGGGCGCAACTGATTATCTTTCAGTAGTTTATTAAGTACACGTTTTGTGCGTCGGGTGTCTGTGAATCAATATCTCTGGAGCTATATAGCCTTTGAATTCAATATTCTCGGAAAAAAATATTCGAAATTGTGTGAATACTTTCACTTTGACATTTCGGCCTCAGGTTATTATTCATTAAACTCGGATTTGAAACCATTCATGAATCTTTGTCCAATTTTATACATTTCATAGTTGATCATATCGTCTGTGTATATTAATCTGTCTCATGAGGATGAATAGTGCATTCAGTTTCTCCTCTTAACACTGAAAGCTCGTATACTGTCCCTCCTATATAGGCTTACTGTGAGACGATCATTGTAGATATCCGTTCGGTCTTTTTTCAACAAAACACTGAGAAAATTAAAATTTGGGTTCAAATTCGATTCCATTGGGAACGTAATGGACCTTTGGCACTTACTGAACTTATGTAATATATTATTAATGTTGCTGTTGACCAAGGTACCATCCACGTATCTCGCAAGGAAACAAAATTTATCAATTACTGCTCGTAGGACAATGCGCTTCTTGTTAGCTATAAGCAATCTAATATAAGAAGACTCAGTAGAGACCATTCAATCGTAACATCTTTTTGATCAAAAAAACCATCATAAAGAGAAATGATATTTTCCGATAGAATTTTTTTCCTTATACCCTGCTGTTAATTATTGAATCAAAAAAGTCAAAGTAGTGAGAAATGTTTTATGTCTGTAAATTTGGTACTCCCATCAATTATATCCCAGTCGCATGATATGATTTATTCATGTCTATTATAAGATGAACATTTCTTTAATGTAGCTTACCGAATTATTGCAATCATGCGACGGAAGAACCCAAATGCCTTAGACGTTTGAAGAAGTTGTAGTGTGTGTGCTTTTATGTCGATCCCACAGGGATTGTCTGTCTTCGGACAATAGAATCAGCTCATTCTCGTCAAGTCATTATTCACATGCCTTTTGATCTTGTCAATCATTCGCTTATATCTTGGTTGCTTTTGTTTGATTTTGTGTATCACTTACTTCGCTCACTACATGTCTAGCTTATTTTGTCTGATTTTAAATCTTGTTCATGCTTCATCACCTAGAGTTAACTCGCCCGCTTTCTTCGCTTCACTTCGTCCTGCTTGTATGCTCTTCATTCTCATGTCTGTCTGTATGAATGATTGCTTGCAATAAACTCAACCAACCGAATCCGTATTTGGCTTCTCATTGCCGTCGTCACAAAAACGGGTTGCGGATATACGAAAATTGAAGGGGAGATTTATTTCATGCATATTTAATTCTTCATAAATACTGGAGTCAGTACGCGAGCGACTGGAAGATCTTTACTGATGATTGACTCACCTTTCATGTTTTTCAGAATTTTAGTCAACTGCTGTAATATTCTTTCCACAGAATTGACTGGTAAACTTCTCAGCGTCAGTAAGTATAGCAGATTATTAATCAATATAGTTCTTTCGATCTATAAAAGGATACCAACACTTTTATCTAAGGGAAATAATAATAAATTTCTACCTTCTACAAGATCATTCAACTAAATATGGAATAGAACTTATATAACATTATTCTTGGAATTTTATTGTTTCCAATGATTGAAATAGTTTGAATGTCGATTCATCTAAAACAGAGATTAAAGCATACATTTCAAGATGTAATTGCACTTCAGTAATTTCTACTGTACAGCTGAAAAATATCCTATTAGTTAGTCGAAAATGTAGGCGTGTATTAACATAACCACATCAAGTTAAACTGTTAATCCTGGACCATTATTACTGCGATAAGCTGGTTAGATATGTCCCAAGTAGAGCTAAGAAAATACGCTCCAATGACACCATAAACAAAGAACTGGAGCTCATTCGTAATACGTTGATTTTCTGAAGAAAAACATGCAAGCAATGAAAATAGAGACATCGATGGTGAATGAGAAACCTTTCTTTCAACGGAGGTATAGCTAATGATTTACTCCGAGATGGATTGACTACAGAAAAGAAGATGACGTTTAGTGCAGCTAATCACTGTCTTGTTTTCTAGTCCATTTATAATGACCACAACTAAAGGATTAGCTACATAGTTTCCTCACATCCATGTGTATCTACGAGTTCAGCCGCTCCTATGGAGAAGGCTACAATGGTCGTACAACCAGACAACTGAGCCAATAAGTTAGCGAACACCCTTCCTGGCTAAGTAAGGGTGTAATCAAAGCAACACTCAGCTCAACCCTATCACACTTCATAGATAGTGGTCGTTTAGTAAATCAAACACCTACTAGCTTTACTTGTGGGCTTTGATCTCGTCTCTTACATACGGCAGAAGCTATAAGAATTCAAGCTAACAATCCAAATATTTGTGTTCATTAAAAATTAATAACACTACTGCCTCTGATTGAATTAGCTATAACAAAACATCTTATCAGTTTATTTATTATTATTTTCTATACTCTATTGATTTGCTCATTTTACTTCACCACATTTCACTTAAAATACTCCTCACTAATCAATTATCTGAAAACTTTTTGTTACGTAATTTTACACTTTTTAGTGGGTGTTATTTCAGTGTCTAATTTTCAGTCGTTCACCTACTTCCTATTATGAAACATAGTTTCAAACCTTTATTATTCCTTATCACAGCCAATACATTTATCATCACACTATCAATCTGTACTTTTTATTTATTTATGTAACCTGTACTGCTTTGACCATTGACTCATAAACTGCCTTCATTGGTTTAATAGTTTTAGATATCCATATAAGTATTACTACACATTAGAGTGTAACCAGATGAAATCTTGATTACTAGTTAATGTCACAACATGACAATTTTTAATATTTTAGAATTACATAATTGACTACTTACAAGTAAATAAAATTAAGACAGTAAAATTTTCTTTTCGACGAAATCATTTACTCAATCTATTTGAATTTATGGTCCTTCGAAACTGAGGAAGGGTAGAAGAAATTGTATCAAAAGTTGATCCGAGACTTAAAGTATTAAGAAGTTTTGTAATAGTCAAGGGGTTGATAAATAATAGGAAGACTTCTTATAGAGCGAATTTATATGCATCAAAAGATGCACTGATTTTCCAACAATCAACTAATAATTTTGTTCAGACTAGGTTCAATCATTTCGACCGAGATATGAGAATGGCATCAGTAGCTCTTGCACAAAACTGAATTGCTACTTATCAGATGATTCAGTAAATAACCTTAGGCTCCTTTTTTAGTGCGAAAACTAAGCTCATCAGGAGAAAATATACAGGATAACATATGCAGTTGCCGACAAGTAAACCAAGTAACTAAATGCAAATACCACTTGAGTCATGGAACAACGTAGCCAACAGTTATTTGAATAATAAATAAACAAATATTTCACACCAAACTACGAACAAACTATTCACAAATACATATTTAATAAAATAGCTTAGTGGAAATGATATTTTCTCTGGATAACTTTGAATAGAACACACTACAGCAGTAGTCAGAGGGAGGAGGGAAATGATGCAGAAAATGGAGAAATGAAATCGTCATGATCCGGAAAATAAAATATTCTCTGATTATATGATACGAGTTGATCTGAGATAGTTAATAATACTAAAGTTTAAAATACTAAATATCAATTATTTTGTGAATAAAATTTTAACAACTTATTATCAGAATTCTATTAATAATTTAACAAAGTCTAGAGAATAATGTATTTATTATACACATAGTAGTAAAACAATAAGCGGTACATGTACAAAAATATATTCAAACAAATGAATTAATGAGTTCATAGAAATAATCACTAATACCTCTTGAAATTTGAAAAACCAACAAATAATCATGTGAGACAAGGCAAAATTACATCAATTACAACTTTTTTTCTTTTTTACATAGAAATAAAAGGAAAGCCTAATACAATGTACCTATGTATAAATATATATTCACTCATGCATTGATTGATATGAGGAAATGAAATTTTAAAAAAAATTAACAGTATTTTATGTGAAGAATGAATTAAAACAAAGAACCGACTGGATCAAATATATATAATGTCCCCGTATTCGAATCCACTGTTACAATAGTAGGTGGAAGATCAATCGATGAAAATGGACCATTATTTTTATCATCATTCGAATTAATTTCCACTAAACGACTTGAACTGACCATTAAAGGTGATGATGTCCCGACTAAATTGCATACACCAGAAGAAAGTACTCTTAATACACGACATTGTTGTATTTCAAATTTTGGTGGATTTAAAATAGGCACTTTATCTTGAACACTAATACGTCTTATAGAAACAATAGAAGTATTTATATTATCTGAAGAATCATTGGAATCATCAGTAGACGAATCAAATTGTTGAATAGATTCAAAAGGCCATACACATAAACGATCAGACAGACCAGCTAATAATCGTCCATCTGGTGACCACGTTAACTTATGTAACCATGCTGATCCATAACCAGCAGCTGTTGAATAGTAATCTGGTCGTTTGTGAAACAAACGATTATCTCTAGGATTACCACTTCGAGATGAGAAATGTTGCATTGCATCAGGACTTGGAATACGTACATTAGATTTTTGATCACGATCGGCTCCAGATCGATATGACTCATGAATTACGGGTCGTCCTGAATATAGCATTTTCTCATTTAAAACAGTATTACGGTTATTTGCTATTTGACTACATAACCTACAATACAATAAATGAAATAAACTAGTTATCGTTTAACCTAGAAAAGGTGTAGACAAAATTAACTGAAACATAAGAGTCAAAAGAAAAGTCAAATAAACGTGAATATGTTCATTTGACAGAATTTAACTAATTTTGTTGAATAATAATCGGATATATGATTTGTCTAACAGAACCAAAAAATGAGTAGAATAGTTATCGAATAGCGGATTTTTGAGTGTTCAAACAATGATTACCGGTATTCTAAAACAAACACTAAGCTTAACCAAAGCGTTAGATTCTTTTTCTACCAAGAAATAAGCTTCATGTAAGAATTAGATTTCCTAGACTGTTAAGAGTAAAATAGAGTTTCTTTCGAAATACCATCTAAACCGAGGGAGAGCACCAGGTCTTAAAGGATCAACCCCTAAAATTTTTTAAAGTTGTTGGTTCAGTTTTAGCAGTTAGCTTAGCTGAGGTCTCGTCTAGAATCTGGGAACCAGAATTAATCACATCTGACTAGTTTTAATTGCTATTCGGCCCGGTCTAAGGACAAAAGGCCTTCTACGGCAATCATGAAGAAACCAGTTTCACTAAAAGTATAAGCCACAGTAATGGTTCAACGCCTAAATCAAGCACGTGAACAGAAAATTTAAGAAACCCAAGCTGGTTTCATACCTGAATATGGATATATAGAACAAATATTCACACATCGTCAGGTCAATAAACACAGATACACATTCATACGTCGTAAAATTTTGGGTTCCTTGAATTTAGGAGACATTTACCTCTGTGAATAATGAGGTTCGAAGGCAGTGTCGTTGAAAAGTGTACCCAACAAGTGCATTACCTAATGCAAGCTATTTATTCGAACAGTATTGGTTGAGGGACAGCTTACGGAGAACTCTCATTGGAACTTATTACTGCGTGTAGCGTTCATCACGGTTATCTACTTTCCTCATCTTTATCCAAATTTTTCATAGATATGCTTTCTTAATTGTCACTTTCGTTGTCTGACTTCTCAGAAGTTGACCTTCTACCCTAAGACTCACTTTCTGACTTACAATATGCACATGACACAGTAAGGTTCAGTGAAGACGCTAACAAAATGCATGTTCAACATATGATTCCCCTCATGAAATGCAAAATGTTACTTCAGGATTCGTTTACATCGGCAGCTGAACTAGTGATAGGTAGTGAAGTAAGTGAGCGTGTGGACCCCCTTCACTTATCTTGGGAGTCTCAACAGTGTTGGTAGCCTGGTATCTGACGAAATCTCAGAGCGGATACAGAAGGCTCAACCGGCTTATGCCAGCTTGCGTCACTTGTGGTGTAAGACAAATATCCGTCTGCTAACCTGAAGACAAGTTGAATGCACAAAACGTCGTTTTCGCCTACTTTTACCGGTGTGAAACGTGACCATTAAGAAGAGAGGATATTCGTACGTTACTAGTATTCGATCATAGTTGTCTTCGAAGCATTCCTCGTGTGTTCCGTGAATATCCCGTAAGCAATTTCGGGGTTGGGAATAAGGTACTAGATAAGGATGACAAATTGAATGATCATGTAATGAATCTCCGTCGGATGAGATGATGGACTGAAACATGGCAGTAGGGGAGAAATGCCTGATTGGGGTCCACGTGACTGCCATGGTGAGTGGCTAAACATTGAAGACAACACGGTTCAAAATTGTACGCAATGGCGCAGGTGCATTCATCCTTGTCGTTCGGCTGGTTCTAAGCTTCTGAGCCTTTCATGATTTGTTTTTCTTTTTAAATTTATGTCATCGGGATATACTTCTCAATTTATACCTTCAATTCCTAATGTTTTCAATTACTGCTGATACTGCTATTACTGCGGGATTCGAAATGACGCATGCAAGTTGCCCGTTGCAGTGACTGTAAATTGATGATGATATAGCCTTGACTCATTTTATAATTGTAATTATACTGTCGTAGTACGCTAAAAAGACAGTGGGTTTGTGATCCATGTCATGAAACTTATTTACCGTATATACATTACTTGAAACAGGCTTTATGTACGTTATTATGAGTCATAATGTCACCTAGCAGTCAAGGCTTAATTCACTCGACAGTAAGCGACCTACAAAATTGATATTGCCCAATAGTTTGTAACACAAAACCATGTTCATTTTTAAGTGAATATTTTGAATATAGCATGTCATTTTATCAGATAAAAACCTTTTGGTTATTGGTTTTAGTATTGGTTCAATAGCAGCTTGGAAGCAATAATACGATCTCGTGATCACGTGAACTTATTGTATCGCATCTGTCCGTACGAATACTATTCATTGATTTCATAACTCAAATCTCATTCGTGAGATCGAAAGTGATAGCAATATAGTATAACTGAAAAATGTAAGCACATTAAACTTACATTTGAGCTGTCAATCGCCAAACACGTAAAGTACCCTCATCGTCACCGGTTACCATAATTAGTTCACCATCTAGGTCAACCACTGGTTGGAAAGCCACAGAACGGACACACATTGGATGTGTACCTGTATCAAAAGCCAATGTTCCGGAGGGCAAAAACCATACCTTGATAAGATAAAACATTCATACAGAAATCAAACAAACGATCTGTAAAAAAATCCAAATATTTATAATTATAAAGATTAGAACCGAAGTATACCGGAAATTTTCCCCTAAAAATTCTCAGATGGTTTGATGCAAAAGTTATCAAAACATGCTTATAACAATGTTTATTACAAACGATAAACAGAACTAATGACAGTTATCTGATTGACTACTAATGACGCTAGACAACTGCAAAGATTAAGGTGAGAAGATTCTATTTCAATAAATCATACAATAACTGACTTTAAAGCAAATAAAGCCTTTAAACAGGTATTTATGATACAAACAAAGTGCTGGCAATTCCTACATATTCCTTGTATTATTAATGAGTGCTTTTGACACCCGATTTCATCGCCCCATTTCTCAGTACACAGTATGAATGAAAAGTTGATTCAATGAACCTGATGGGATGATTTAGACATTGAAATCAACAATCAATCATTGTTAGACCACCATTAGAAACCCGGAAGCAACGGACAGCCGTTTCGTCCTGGTATGGGACTCATCAATAGTGCGCATCCTCGACTCCTGCTAGTCTCAGGATTCGAACCCAGGACATTCGGTCTGGCACGCGAACGCCTAACCTCTGGTGAGTCCCATGCCAGGATGAAACGGCTGTCCAGTGCTTCCAGGTTTCTAATAGTGGTCTAACAATGACTGATTGATGATTTCAATGTGTAAAAACATTGATCTCCATAACTCTAATTGAAAAAATGATTTAGGTTAAGTCTGTAGTTCAAATGATAAAATACTAACTTTTGCGGTCTTGTCTGTCGATCCAGTTACAAGCCAGTGGCCACTTGGTCCAATATCAGCGTCTGTTATTTTCATTGGTGTATGAGCATTTAAGTCCAATGTCCATCGGTTACTCTTAGAATCAGATTTGTTTTCTTCATTAACGGCAACGGACCTATTATTACTTGGAATAATTAATTCACGACCAAAAACTCGACCGTCATGTCCAGAGGTAAACCAAACTAGCATTTTACTTTCTTTCTTATCCAGTGACGATCGTCGTTCAGGACTACGTGTACGATAATCACATACTAAAGGATGTTGAGAACGTTCAATTAAACGACAAGTAGACCAAGTAACAGCTGAATCAGTATTGTTTGGAAAAGAATCATTCAGGTAACCGGTTTGACCATCTAATTTTGTTTTTCGATTATTAACTGAACCATTTAATGATTGTGTATCACTGTGAAGTTTTGGAAAACATTCTGTAGGGTAAACATTTACGCAAGGTATAGCTGGATCCGATATTTTATGACAAGTGTCAGAGAGGTACCATACCTAAAATATAGGAAACAAAATTTATGATACCGCTGTACACAAATTATTACTATAATTTCAACATCATATTATTTTGAAAAAGAAATTAAAATGTATTCTAAAATAGTTATAGAAATCTACTACAAACTTTTCGATATTTGAGTAGTATAACATCCTATTGTAAGTAATCAAACATTATGTCTTTCTACATGATTCATGAAACAGTAAGCTAACCACAAGGATCCAAATGCAAAGGCCATTTGATGATCGTCAGAAAATATCCTACAGGACAGATACATATAATCGGTCAAGAAACGGCTTCCATTCCTAAGGGGGACAGATGTATATGCATATAGACAAGTATTTGTAGATAAGATTTGTTAGCAAAATAGACTTATCATCCCAGTCTTGTCTTGCATATCAAGTAGCGAGTTTGATAGTGTTAGCATGTATCACGATCAGACTTTTGACACTCCACATCATAAAAACTTACTTTAAAAAGACAATGAACTTTAATATCAGTGTATCTTTATTATGTAATCCGGACAACGTACAACCGAAAGAGGCTACCGATAGTAACGTCAAGTGTAAATATAGTCTATTTATTTCTCTTTAATCTTGTGCCATTAAAACCTTAGTAATGATTGAATTCGATTCTAATAAACTAAAATGTAACTAATATAATCTTTGATTATAGGATTTTGAGTGATATGAGTCTCAAATTTCAAAAACCAATCATACATCCTACCGATAAGTATATGCTACAAGGTTTTGATATTGTTTAATGATCTAACATCATACAAACAAACATAAAACCATTAATCAAATCATTTACTAATATGATGTTATATAGAATTTGAATAAACGAGCTGGAAAAAACTGAAGGACTATTATTCAGTGCCAGAAAGACCTGCTCACGTATTTCAAAATAGTCTGATGGCTTCATAGTAGAAATTACATACGAAATAGTAAGCGATAAAATCTAGGGTTTTTGAGTTTTCCTATAATAATGGGTATATAATTCGGCACCCAGTAGTTACCAGCCTCAAGTTCAGTCATTTAACGATAGGGTGATATCTCCAACCTCAGAAAATTTATCTCTTGACGAGCAAATTAATTATGTTGAGTGGATTAATATGAAAATCATATCAATAGACTAGATAATGCTTATAGGGAACGTCCAAAAATGGAAGATAGATAATAACTTAAGTTCAATGATAAAATAATACAATTTCTTAAAACAATTTATCTGGAAATCATAAAAGTAGAAATAATTACATATTTATAGGCTAGAATAATAAGTAAACATTGAAATTTAAAGTAAAATAGTTCATTAATATATAAAGACAATAATAATAAAATAAAAATTGATTTATTACTCAGTATAAACTAATTTATCATGCAGCTAAAAGGGTAAACAATTAAACTTTTATAATTCAATTGTGTACTATAATTGTCACAGATTATAACACAGATTGATTACTTTGAGTAAATAAATATAAAGAAATAATACAAGATAAGAATCGAATAAATATTCAAGGTGCATAGAGACCATAAATTATGCGAATTGAGATGAACTTGAAATTTAAACAATGAAGTTGGAAACAAAGAATAAATCCTAGAGTTAACTGGAAATATTAAAGATTTTATAAAACGTTCTGTTGAATTGAAGTAGTTGAATAGTTTACTTACCTAACTAAATACAATCAAACGTAATTAAAATCTGCTTGTTATAAGTCGAGAGATTGGCACCTGAGAGACTGTAGAACTTAGTAATTATCAAGCATATATTTCTGTCATCGAACATGGAAGTTTGTCATTCACATAAGCTATTCAAATCGAATCAAACGGAGTGGATTTAACAAACGTTTAAGATGTTGATTAAAATCCAGTAGCTATCTTCTCACCCTACTTCACTCTTCATTATTAAAAATAATTTCGAAACTTGGTTAGATTTCACACAGACTCATTTATTTATCAGTCCATTTTCATCAGTAGGATTAACATTAATAAAAATATATTGTTTTATGTGGTAGGAAAACACGATTTAGCAGATCACCTACTTTGATACAAAGATATGCCCTCAAATGCCCTGGTACGATCGAGACTGGGAAGAGTTCGCTATTTCTCTCGAAATGCTCTCATATGGCCACGCGGGTACAGCAACTGAGAGAGAAGTTCTATTCACTGCCTTCTCGTTGTAGGAGTGTTACATACGAAATCAAGGGGATTAAAAGCGAACGTCCGGTGATTAAACCTCTAGGCCAAAGGCTCAAAGCTTGGCTCCCTACGAAAATTACCTGCTCCGGTTCGGGAGCGGAGCAATATCTAATCCAACTCATTCAACAATCTTTGTGGCGCGTATATATTTTACTGCCCAAATGTATCTATGTTTATGTGTTGAAATAAATAAAAATAATTAACTAATCAGTTTTATTTATACGCTAAATTTGTTACTGCTCAAAAAATATGGCTCCAAATATTCATATCCTAGCTGAACTACACCTATACACAGGGTGAAATAGTCAAAAATGAAACCTTTATTGAAAATGTTACAGATGCGATTCCATGAAATAACAGAAAATGTGATGAATCTTGAGAATAAATCTCGAAAATGAAACATAAACATATCATTACTTTTACACATCCACTTTCATAGACACCAACCACAACCAAAAGTTTACTATTCTTTGAATCAGTCGATTCGACACGATCTTCAGGCATCCACGTATGAAGATGTAGAATGTGATCATTCAGTGTAGAAGAAGACGAGCACGATGATGAAGAGGTCTTGTGTTCTTTAATATTTGTTTTATTTGTATTTTGATCAAAAGCCAATAAGTAATAACGTTTTACTATACCGCATAAATGTGAATCGTCAAAATGAAGCGAATATACCTTGAACATAAAAATAAATTTTCTATAGTAAAAAAACTAACAAACGAACAAAACGGTAAATATCACATTACTTGTTCTATTCATCTTGGAAATTGTCATTGTGATAAATCTGAATAAAAATAAATGAATATCTAGTTATCCATTACAGATGAATTGAAACAAAATATTTATTACAATGTGGAAGTAAATCACTGTCAATGATTTAGACTAAGTGCTTACATAGTTTAATCTAATCTTACGTTATACATGTTTAGTTAATACGATAAATCAGTAGACAAATCTTCAATAATATGTTGTAAAATTCATCGATTCATTTTAAACAATCAATCAGGAGGAACCTGAAAAGGAAGGTAGATTAGTGTTGTTCTTAGAGACCTACGAGCGTGACCGCAGAGCCCAAGGGACAACTGCTTGAGGCCTTTTTATGAGAAGTCTTTAAAGTGCTAGCTCCGCTCTTGTTTTAAGCCTTTACTGACGGGGACGGGAATCCGAAGGGTAGGGTGAGATGTGACATTTTTGGGGTCGACCTTTTCTAACATCTACCTTCCTTGTGAGAAGACAACATCGCTGCAGATGCTGGTTGTTCGAGGAAAACACCTTACTGCTGTCGCACCTCTTTACAGTCAGTAGTACGACTTCGTTCTCAGATCTTGAGTTGCAGCTTTTAGTCTCACCGTTCTCCAATCGACCTGTCTGGCATGGTATAACCGACAGGAACATATGTTCCAGCCAGTTTAGCTCTGTTGGGTGATCACGATAGGCAAACCCGATCACCACATCAAAGTAGAAGCTACGATCAGGATTTTAAACAATCACAACATTAGACTAAAAATATTTAAGAAGCTGTATCAGTCAAATAAACTTATGGAATATGATTAAAAAAATAAAAATTTCCAAAGAGATTTAGTAATCTGACAACATTTAATTACAATGGTTATTTTGTATAGGTAAAATTAATCATTTGTTTTGTTGGACGGATATTCAGATGCCTCTTGATATCTAATCCAGTTCTAGAATAGATCTATGTTAATGTCGACTGGGAGAATGACTGATTAAACGCCAACTAATAATATTGAGAATTATTTTGCGTAAAATTCATCCTGAAATCACATTCACATTTGCCTACTTTTAGTGAATTGTGAAAGGATATTTTGCCATTCATGAAAAGAAAGATCAAGAAACACTTGTAACTACGATAATTGTCAACAAAAAAAACGGGTGAATTTTATATTTTAGTTACTGTAAAAAATCAGACTGTTCGATATAATAATAATAATTATTATTATTATTACTATTATTATTACTTACAATAACATTCCCAGTATCAAAGCCAACAGCTACCCAATTACCACCATTTGAAAATGTTACAGCAGTGGCAACTCCATACACAGAGCTTGATAATCCTGTACTTAATATCCAATGTTTAAAAGTTGATTTCTTTGAACTTTCTACTGATGAACCAGGTTGATGATTGTTTTCCATTGAATTTTTATGACTTTTATGATCAATAGACTCACAAGAATTAACTTCAATAAATTTATGCTGAACTTGTGGATTCCAATAGGATGACTGACTCGGTCGAAGAGTAATCTCTTGGAATGAACAAGTTGTTCCATTATTACCACTCAATTGTTTTGGTCGGAATAAAAACTTAGATTTTTGCGGAGGGGGGGAAAAATAAGAAAAATATTAATATGATATTACGAGAAAAAATTTTATTCCAAGAATCATTGATCGGCGACAAATAAAACAAATAATTTAACTGAAGAGATAATTAAAAGCTACGAAAACTAAAACCAAATATACAATCTAATAAAATTAATAGAACCCAACTAAATAAATTCAAAAACATTTTCATAAAAGATCAGAGCCATACAGTATGTGTGAACTGTAAAACGATGTTGACTTAAACTTAAAATTCATTAGTCAAGAACAATGGTATTTAAACAATTGAATCACAGCATGTTATTATTTCATGCAAGTCAACAAGCACACGCGGATTTATGTGTCAAAAGTTTTAGACTACTGACAATTATTGAAAGTTGAAAGTTGTCAAAAACTCAGTAAGAATGCATTAATAATATCTAAATAAGTCTATCACCACTTCATTTACTTGCATAGCCATTCAAACTTGCGAAGTGGACAAATTTTATGGAATAAGATAAAAAAACCAACATAAAAATTAAAAAACGAAAATGAAATATCGATTTACACCATGAGATCTACATCGATTCGAAGCATCTATGAAATATTGTAATAATTGTCTACTATATGCGGTTTTAGCAAGCAATGTAAACCGGAAACATTCTGATATTTAATGATGGCATTAATTCATTATAAAACCATTCAGTTTGAATGAATGCTTAAACAGGCTAATGAAACTTTTATTTCTTGATATATGAGATTTAACCCAGGGTTAGAATACTTTTGGAATTAAAAACGGTTGAGCTACTCTAATGCCACGGGTTCTAATGAATAAATCGATGACCGCGACTAGAACATAACACTTCAACAAAGGATCATCAATGCAACAAAAAAAATGAATCATAGAAAAACTTGAAAAGTAAAATATAACAAAACGAAATGGTAAGAATCCGTGTGTGTAGTAATGAAAACATGACGTATAAGAGTAGGGACATTTAACGGGCTAAAAGCTATGATAATCAGCCAAAAAAGGCCCATGACAAGTGAAAATCTACTTTGAAAAAAGGGACTTCCAATTATCGTTTTTAGTACGATTTTAATATTGTCAAAAAATTTAAATAATCTTGATGATTTAAGGTATTCAAAATTAGTACCACTGTATGTTTGTATACCTGATCTAGCTATTGCAACATATAAATCCTGGTACCATAAAGCACCGGGAAATTTGTCACACATATGGAAAGATAGTATTTTGAAGACATAAAACAGAGAAGAAATGAATACAAACATAAACAAGAATGGTATTTAATAAGAACAAATCCTGTCGAAAATGAAGTCAAAAAACACTACTTCCAGTAAAACGAATTAATCTCACTTCTATGGACAGTGTAATAAATGATAGTTGTGTATGCAAAAACAAATAATGTTATAATATTCGCCTGAATTTGTTTGTTGTTTTTACTTCTTGAACAATAACAACATTCAAAGACTAGTAGATAATACTAGTCAATAATTGGTGTATATCTTTAGTGTTTAAAATACCGAAACTGCTAACCGTCGGATGACATCGCCAGCTGTCACACCAAATAAAAATTAGTACACAAATGTTCGGACGAGTGATTTATCAGCTATATTCACAATAAACACTATCTAAGAGAGCAAGCATATGAACGAAATCATCTCCAGTTGGTACGAAGTTAATACAAATATCCACACATGTCCAAAATGTATTATATATATATATATATATATATATATATATATATATATATATATGTATATATATATATATATATATATGTAAAGAAAATAATGACTATAAATATGACGGAAATCGGGTAGCATTATTTTATGAATTAACACTGTAAAAGAAATATCACCTGTAAATCGGAAGAATGTCGACGACGTCCAACAACTAAGAGTGAACCATGTTCACCAAACCAAACGGACAATACTTGGGTCCAAAGCCCATGTACAGCGATTGGAGTTTGTGCATTTGAAGAAGTAGAATGCCTGTGAGATGAAAAACCGGAAGCTGAAGGATACGGCCAAACTGGACCAGTTGGAGTTGGAGTTGTTGGAGTCGGTAAGCAAGTCGCACCAACATCCCAACGTTTAATTACACCGTCAACAGATGCCGTGAGCAATCCAATCGGTAAAGAACTTTTGTTGATATTAAAATCAAAATAATCTACATCAGAAAATTGTTTGAAATCATCTGGAAGTAGACGTATAGCTGTAACCCAAGAAGCATGAACACTCAATTCCACTAATTTGCAACCGTCACGAACACGCCATATCTAAGATAAGAGCAATAATAAAATGGCATAATAGGTTAAAATGTTACATATATTTAGCATATCGGTTATCATATCTAAAGTACCATAAAAATAACGTACAAGAACACGTCCACTAGCTGTTCCGCCAGCTAAAATGCATTGACCTTCAATAATACGTGCATCCATTGACAGTACTGTAGACGAAAATGAGCATGATAAATGTAAGCGAGGGAAGCTATTACGACACAAAGTTTCTTTTTCCAATAGTCCTGACTCAGAAAATTGATATTCACTATTAGGTAAGCACCAAATCTAAGAAGAAGAAAATAAGCAGACATATAGTGGGTGTAAGAAGATGCATGAAAATCAAATGTATACTTTAATATAGCAGTTTTCCAACATTTCTTAATCAAGTGCATTGTAACGTATGAGGAAAAAGGTTACATACAATATGCATTGTGGTTAAGAGATGATGATTTTTGTCAGTTGATTTAGAATAGGGTAGAAACAAACACTAGATATGGAATTTCAAATTCAGACGAATATTGTGGGAAGTTCTTAAACTGTCTCACCATGTATTTTTTGAGAACAATACTACTTTACGGCAAAATAAACCAGTGTAATAGTTGTGCCAGACACAATCATTATTTTAACTAGGTATTGAATCAGTGTCTGTCTACGGAATCACTTACAACCTAGTTAGCCGAAACATATAACATTCTAACAAGAACTGAAGTACACTTTTTAAACAAAAATGCTAACATTAAGAAATTTACTTATAAAATACACATCACAAACACCCAATATAGATTTCGCCTCATACTATTCATCATAGAGTATTCATTAAGAGAGATCTTCACATACAATGTTTATTACTTTTCTTTCTAAAATAAAAATTCGTCTGTTAAAACATTTTAAAAAGGTACACACAGAAATCAAACAAAATTTGCTAAGGCTTTCCTACTAATAATGATTCAGTGAAATACTACATAAAAAGAGAAAATTTACATAGAAATTCGTCCAACCGTCTTATAATATTAATCAATAAAAATACATAGAGAAAATAAACAGCAAAACTCTCATTCACTAAACTCACCAAAACTTGAGTAGATAAAGATGCAGCAAAAAATACTGGCGCATTATTCATGTCATTTGGGTTACTATGGTTTGTAAAAGATGGTAGAAATATAACACAAGAGGCAGCTGGCCCAACTCCAACCTCTAAACTGTTCGGATCAAAAAGCTATGACAACAAGATGATAAATATTAATATTTGTTTAAATGGTTTTTAAAGAATAAGAAACAAACAATCGCAATCATTCTAGACCATAGTAAAAAGTAATTGATTAGATGAAAATAAATGAAATAAGTACTACATGACCAATACACAATAATTTCGTTTATAGTGATAAAGATGCACAAACCAAGACAAAGCATCACTCAATACAAAGTAAATGATTGAGATTCATACAATAACCATCATTGATTTTTAGACATGTAAAGTGATATGACTCAGAATGAGCTATAATCATTCAGATCCCAGATACTCTTTATATTCCTCTACTTTTTAAATCGAAGTATTTAATTTTGCAGGTCACTTATTCATCTTGCTTACTATATAAATACAAAAAACTAATAACCAAAAAGATACTGATCAATTCGGTATAAAAAATGAAAAGATTTTCAAAAGAGAATAGTTGATATCAGCTGGATGTACCAGCATCTCAGAGTTGATATTTACTCGAACACAGTAACAATCACTTCAAACGCCATCGGGTTATCCACTTAGCTACTAAGTCCAGACAGCCAATGGCTTGTGCATCAGGGTGAAGATTAATTCACTTTTATTGGTTGCTTGGATCTTCCCATCGATTTATAGGACCGTAAATTGGTTCGAGTCCCGGAGTAGACATCAACTCTGAGACGCAGAAATATCCAGCTGACGAGTCTCAAGTAAAACAAAACGCGCATCCTAAATTCCACTGCCAACCACTATCCGACTTTGTTAATGATACTTATAAACATACTACACTATGAAAACCAGAAAACAATCGAACAGTTGACAATCAACCCACTTACCTGAGACTGTTCATATTCTGTAAATACATCGATTGAAAATCTTTGAGATAAGAATTTTGTGACAAAGTCTATGGACAATTTAGTCGAAATACAGGAAATCCAACAGATGGTATCAAGGTTGTAAAACCATATAAATCCATCAGATAAGCAAACAGCAATTATATTTCCATCTTCTGAAACAGAAGCCAGATGGACTTTTGAATTAGAATCAGTACATAATTGTAAATACCAATGGTTTGAGGGAAGGTAAGGAAGATTTAATTCTCTTGAGCAATCAAGTCTTAATTGCCCACCACTTCCACGTTTCAAATGATAGACATTTGGTAGTTTTGGTGTAGTTTTTACATCAGTAGTTGATTCTACCCCGTCCACACGATGTGACACAGAATCAAGGCAACCTTCACCGATCATAATCAAAAGATCTACGGAGGGATTTGCAGCAATACACTGAAGTTGATAAGCTGAATCCGAAGACGTTTGATCAGACTAAACAAATAAACAAAACATATTCATAATTAATAATAGCACATAGTTATGTGTACTGGTAAAATTTATATGTTAATATGTTAGTCTAACGAAACATTTGAATAATTGCAAGAAGTATTCAAAATTTTATCCATTGAACTAGCTTAGTCTATACTAACTTCCTGTCATGAAATAATTATGAGCTCACAGAGTTAGATAAAATAAGGTAACTTCAACTTTGATTATGTGATAAGGAAACTGAAAAAATAGTTTTACAGCTAAATGTATAGGTAATTAAATTCATGATACAATTACTTGAGAATGACATTTGTATTTTCAAAAGTGAAACGTTTATTTTGGCCAGATCAACATGTTGAACTTAAGCATGTAGAGAACAAACGCTAACTTCATGAGTTACACGACTTTTAATGTTAATTACTTTCAAAAACTAACAAAACGATTTAAATGAAGTAGAGAAAATTACTGAGCATAAATACAGTATGCTTTAGATTAGGTATTAAAAAAAAATTCTAGCATTGATTAAACACTGAATTTGTCCAGGTAAACTGATTAGCAATATATCTAGGGAATTATTTTCTACATTCCATCTATGTTGGTTTTATAAAATTAGTGTATCTAATTATGCAGATTTATAATCTATACACTTGTATCTACATCTCAGAATGTTAATCTTATTCAATGGTTGTATTTAAGTCCAATAATCAATTGATTGACTCAGTGGTAGTAATTAAGTGCGAAAAACATCTCAACATCATGATTTCCACATTTTTCCACTCATTGACAAATAAGTATTTTCTAAGTAAATATTTATAACTGTTCAGTCTATGTAAAAATGGACAGTAACTAACCAATGTTCGATAACTTCCAGAGATCAATGAATCTAAATTAGCTATGTTATTTTCAACGACCATTTGTCATACTTTTTGTTTCTTATCGAAATGTTTGCATATTTTGAAAACAATTTAGTCACAAACTACAGTCAGTTGAACTACTCAAAACCAGTAGGCACTGAACAATCGTCTTTTTTTTTCTGGTTCAGGAATCGTTAACAGTGTAAAAACAATACTACCATTTTTTGTGTTAATCGTTCATTTCAGAAACAAAGTCATGAAATTTGGTCGTGTTAACGGTTGACATATAGTCATTTTGCTTTAACAATCATTCAACAATTTAAATGAACTATCTACATAACCATATAAAAATAACCAGCTAATAACAGTTCAATATTAAAACCAACAGAAATATAATCTATAAAGATTATATTCACCACCTATGTGATCCAACATAGTTTTGATTCTTTACGTAACCATTTTGTTGTCATAAATAAAAATACTTGTAATGTAGAGAAAAGCAACTAGTTTATAACGTGCTAGTCCCTTATGAATTCAAAACGGAAGATCATAATAACAAATAGTGATATTATTGGCGAAGGCAATTAGTAGGACATTCAACACAACCAATCCTGCGTTGACTTTCTCCAGTCCAGCAGTGAGTGGTGTCGACTTAAATGAGGGATAAATTGCCTGAATCGACCTCCTCAGTGTGCATTTACAAACCCGGCTGTGTCTGTGTAGATAGCTATATTGGTTGTACTACCAGGCAACTGAACCAACGAATGAGTGAACATCTCTCAGCATAGTTTGAAAAGGGCCAGACATACACAATACGCAGCTCTATCTTGGTACAGCAGATTGACTGCAGTTATAACATAGATAAAACTGAATCATTTCAAGTGATCTAACGTATTCGTCCATCATTTCTCATCCCCGTTTCCCATATATAGCAGAAACCATAGGAATCCGCACATTCAACCGCAATGTATGTGTTTAAAAGTAATTCGTGACACCCTAGCCCCTTCCTTGGTCGGATATAACTTTATAAATGAATTGGAGAATTTTTTTGATTAACATTGGAATTATTTCCACATACAGTATTTGTTTGTAACTCCTTTGCCTCTCTCCATATATATTCTTCATCATCTAATTATTTTACACTTTTCTAACTACGTAATTTTAATAAAGCGTTGTAATGATTATTTTAAGTTTATTTATCCACGTTTGACCTACTACTCCCAGTGTTGAACTATTGATTTAAAAATTTTGTTATCATATTTTATTAATCTTACCACTAATAGTAAACCTATGTTCCTACTATCAACTTGTACTTTTACCTAGTATGTGTGGTGATGCAATCTATTTCATTGTGATTACTGTTTCATAAACTACCCTGATTGGTTTAACATTTTCATAGAAATATTCATGTATATTAAAGTAAAGCTTGATGATGCTCTAATTGTGAAATACTAATGAGTTATGAAGAATATAAACCGAGTGATAAATCGTAATAAATTAAATATAGTTTGTAATAAATAAGGTTGAAACTAACAATGCACACGTTATTTTATTTATGTTATTGTTAATAAATTATAATTATAGCAGTTTAAACAACTATCATGTTGCTAAGTTACCGAAATATGAAACGAAATTTGCCTAAAATTTTCAATCGGACAGTCGTCATTTTAATACTATTGGAATATCTTAACAATAAGAATGATCGATGAATGAAATCCTGTGATTTTGAATTAACAATTAACTATAACAACATGTATTATACAAAATGATTTTGAGAAAATTCAGAAATTAATTTTCCTTTTCTTCCAAAATATTTATAATTTCAGTGAAGAAAAATTTAGATTGTTTGTTATGAATTATCACTTTCAACCACGTTTACTATTTGTGCAATGGGGAAAGAAACTATGAGATCATAATTGAATGAACAATTTGTTTGCATAGTTTAAATTATTTCAACAAGACAACCAACGTCTATTAGCCAATGAGTAACCAGTTAATCGAATCAAATTTAAAGCCTAGTAATTTTGTTTTCATACTTCTTACTTATAATTCTGTGTCGATTTCGGGAAATACTGTGACAATAAACATTCTGAAAACAACAATAAAACAAATAAACCTGAGAATTTACAGGCGATGTTGAAGTTTTCGCATTGTCAACACGAGCCAATTCAGTTAGTCGAGGTAAGTCAGCTAAAACAATCGGCGCTGGAACATCAATCGGTGAAGAATCATAAACTGGTGAAACAATAGTTGAACGCCTTCGACGTCTTATTGTCTCTGCAATAGATAATTCCGAGTCATATGATTCCAAATAGATGTTGAAATTTTCGCTTGTTGAATGTTGACTACTGAGTTTGGAATCAATGAAGCCATCATTGGAGCTGATATCATCGTTATCATCGCCTATAGCATCTAAATCACAACTACCTCTATGATTCATATAATATTCAAGCGGAAGTGTATCAATTTCATGATTTGAAACATTCTTATCGTATGGATAAAATTCTTCATTTGGAATCTCCTCAGCAACAGGAAGCGTTGAAATTCTGTGTATGAATAATAATAAGGAGGAAAGCTAAAAGTCAACAAAATAAGTGCATAAAAGCACTGACTACACTAAACAACCATAAATATATGTATGTATCTGTATATAAGTAGTTTTTTCTCAATCAATATCACAAAATTAAATTGCAACCTTTATATTGGTCATATTAGTGTTGCATAAAATTTCGACAATCACACTTAAATAATATATGGATTGAAAAAAAAATGAATTGTTTTCGAAAAATGTAGTAATCTGTATTGACAATATTTATTGTCTGACAAACCACCATAACTGGGTTGGCATTAATTTTACTATTATTGCATATATACATATATATATATATATATATATATATATCGACATATGTACAATCTCCACAAACGCCCCTGTGCTGAAAATGATCATCATATGTTTACTAGTGAAGAAATACATTGGCATCTTTGGATATACGGGCCAAGTAGTCAACATGTTAAACGTCCGCACGTGAGACCGAAGGTCCTGAGTTCAAAACCCGTGATAGGGTTATTGTCCTATGTTACAACAATACAGATACGCAGTGATTTCTTATTTACATTAGTGGTCCAGTTAGTATCAGTTCGTTGCGTTCAGAGAAAAAAAAGTTTGATTCAACATTGAAATATTAATACAATTAGAATTCACTAATACTATGTAAGAAGAAAAACTAGACTTACACTAAACTACCATTCGATCCACAAGTTAAACATTCCGTATTATTCGATAAGAAGCTTAAGAATTTCACTTCAGTTTCAGGTGAATACACCTAAATAACAAATACAAAGAGAAGTAACAATAAAGACAAAACTGAAGAGGTAATAGGAACTGAACATAGTAAACGAAAAATAACACAGAAATTTAAAAAAGTGTGCAAAAAAATATCAAGATTAATACCTTGTATCATTTTGCAAATGTTCTTATTCTCGCCTGAAGGCAATAAAAAGTGAAACATCCGTTGTTTAGTTATAAAACTTTAAATTTATATGCTAAGGTGTTATACTAAAGGGATGGAAAATACGTAAAATATGTTAAATAATTATGCTCAAACTACAAATCACTGAGTCGATTTCCCCAGTTTAGTGATTAACAAAGTAATGCTTTAGTGATCGAAGTACGCGACTTCATCCTTCACAAAATTTGATATGAGCACCATGATATTAGTATTAACTTTAAACAAATAGTCCTGAACATAAATCTTTAGTTAGTAAATGATTCACATGAATTTAAGATTTTTAGTTGCAACAATATACAAACTTGATAAAGATGAACAGTAGATTTATTTGCCAATCCATACAAGTTGCGACAGTATCAATCTCCTTGCGTAGTGTTAATTATGAGGTATATAAAAGTGATACTACACTACTACATATAAAGCGACTACCATTGAGCAATACTTTTAAAATTATATAATTTCATGATAATACTCACTGCGATTAATCTATTAATTTACAGACACAAAATTTATTTAATGTTGTTGAACTCCTATTCAGCTTTAAGATATTTTTTATTATTATCATGACTATTATCATTATTACTACTAATAATGATAATAATAATAATAATAATAGTATTTAAACAAATACTTAAACCAGTCTATGTACTTGATGTAATGCAACTTCATAGCCTGAATTGGCATCTAAAAGAAGAACTCGACCATCGCTGGTTGAAGCTAGATATCGTTTACGATAACGATTGTTATGACGTAAATAGTGTGAACCATCAGTCAAATTCTCTTGATTATCTGAAATTACAGTTTCTGTTGAATCATCTGTTGAGACGTTTGTAAAAATTGAAGATATGGTATATGGTAATTCAATAGCCAAACACGTCACAGCTTGAAATCCTGTTGGAATGGCCCATAATAATTGAGAAGCAGCAATGTGACTGTTACTATGATGTGAAAAATAAACACAAAATACAATACAATGTAATGGGAATCCGCTTTAAACTTATCCAGATATGAAATATACATAAAAATCAGTAGAATGTTATATTGCATTATGAATAGATAAATAGTAAGTACCCTACGATATTAGAGCATTGCAAACTTGACTTCATTTCATGCCAAAATAAGCAGAAAAACGTTATCGGAATATAAACTTGTAAGTATTAAATGGTTTGTGTCTGTTCTTAATCATAAAGAAAAACACTTATTTCATGCTTTAATTTATCCAATAAATCAAACAGCATAATAAATAAGAGTTAGGTTCGTATGCATACATTATTGAATAATTTCAGCCTAACAAAATAGATAGGAATTTGTAATTTAATAAATAAAACTTGTGTTTTATTTAGTTTTGTAAGACTTTTAATCATAATTTTGTTCTCAGATGGCAGAATTTACTAAACTGAGTATACTATAAGGAAATCTTATTAACTTTGTTTTAAAATGTAGTAGCACATCTGATACGGTCTAGTGACCCGTTTTAACCAAGCGTACATAATAAATGACAGTAATCCTTTACAGATCTTTAGAACTTAATAAGAGTGAGCGTATGTATTCATTATACTAGTTAGATATGATTAAACTAAAAGATCAACCACATTTGGATCACTATAGAGTTAGTCAAAACCTAGCCACATCTACGATGCTTGATTATTTTGAACTATAAATTCCCTTTCCTAATTAGCGAGAATTTCAGTCTCGTTTGTTAGTATAAGATATCGATTATGGTCAAAAGACTGATATTAAATCCCATTATTTAGAGAAGTGATTTAAAAAATTAAGGTCATACTTTATCATAACTGATAAGAGCAAATACAAATTGAACTCAATCATTACAAAATGAGAAGGAAATTGACGGGACCAAACTAGCTTATGCATTAAAATTGATGGAATTAGTTTCTAACTAAACAGATTGTGGAAATCGACTACTGATTATTAATTCTATAAATATTATTGCTGATTCGTATCAGATGCGGCTAATGTACATTTGTGCTACAGCGGTGTAATAATTTGAGTTAACAGTTGAACTTTGTGACCAGTTATCACCTTGTATATCATCATATTATTGCACTCATTTATCGATTGGAATTTCCTCCATTTACTACGGTTATGAGTTAAGTAATATAATAATTAGTAAAATAATTTCTAGTAATCTTCTCCATTACCAGTAATACTTCTACTATCTCTACCACTATGGGATTTGAATTGACAATTGCGTCTCTGCGCTAATGTGGTATGGCAACCTGAACCGATGTTCTACGTTGTAACTGACTGAATAACTGACTGGCTAAGTAAATCGAAAATATCTGCTTGATTCCTTTGACAAGCTAATATAAAAACAATAAACAAAGTTGATTTAACAAAGTAGCATCTTAATCTCATGCAAGGCTTTTAAAAGTTTAAATTTTAAGTATGTTTTCCAATGTCTAACATATTTAACTAAATTATTTTTATTCATTGTAATTCCACAGGCTAGTCACTACAGGTTCTAATTTACGTACAACATTCTTCACAATGATTCGTACTCTTTTTCCACACATTAACATACACAATAAGTAGTCTGAATATTTGCTAAGAAACTCTGAGATCATTGCTTTTACACACAATTCATTTGTGCCAAATCTTACTTAACCAATTTTAAACGTGTTGTACACAAAAAAGGTTGACATTTGAAATTTTTGAGTAAAATTCATCCCAGTGTATAACCAAATTCAATAATAAGATGAATTTACAACTTACCACCAAAACCAATAATACTTAAATGCTCTGACTATTGATAAAATCTTCGACACTTCTTCTTTAGAAGAGGGATGCATTTTTAAAACAGCTTCATGACGCTGAGTTAATAACTGAAAAGCTTGTTGAAATACAGGGTTATCTTGAGAAAGGCCAAGTCCCAGCTGCAGTAAGTCAATGCCTTTGGGTGATGTAGTATTATAACTAGGACGATCAGGTATATTTATTGAATTTGACCTGATATTTCTTGAAAACAAATTTCGCCGTGATTCGACAGGACTTATACATCTAGAATCAGGTCTGAAGTTGGGAGGAGATAAATCCAAGTTGGCCATGGAACTCCGACGAGATCCTTGGCATGGAGACCTAGATCGTTCGCAGTCCTGAACAATAGTTGGGTCAATTATATAGTAAGCGTTTGTTTGAATAAAACGAAGATAGGCCAACCTGGAGGTTTCCAAAATAAATTACATTTAAATCATTTTATGATTTGATCAGTAAAACTATCTAATTGGTCAATAGGAGGTAAACTAATTTTACGGTTTTCAGTACTTGATACTAGTCGATTTTTATGGAATAAAACCATAATGTATCTGGTAACTAACTAACTAGATAATTATTAGGCATTCTATACCCACATAGATGATGATAAATGAAAAAACTTAATTCACTGATTAGACTACAAGTTTGTGTACTAGACCGCCAGCTGAAATAATTTTACAAAACGAAGACATTTCCCAAGTTCTTAAGTAGAAGTATGTGAAGTGGAATGTTAACCTTTTGAAGCAATACTTCAGAGCCGAACAAGTCAAACAACCACAACAACTCTGAAAGTAAACAATATGAATTCCAAAAAACAAAATTGTAGCACCGTTACCAAGTAGAACTAAGTTATTGATACATTGTGTACATTCAGTAAACAGTACCTGAACAAGAGAATCACGAATGAGGACTTCATAAAAGAAAATAGTAAAATGGGAACTACTCTTGTCCAGTTGGATCTAAGATTGATACGAGTGGCCAGAAGCTCAGAGAGTGGTAACACATTCGAGTGAAAAAAATTTCTCAACATACATAGAGCTGATCCCTGTATGCTAATGAACTCATAAAATTCATGTCTATAGTTATTTAGGTCCTAAGTAAGAAGAAATTCACTCATCCACCGTAGCTCATTGGTAACGTCTCAAATAGTGGCAGGATTCGAATTCAATAGAGAATATTAGTTCCCTCAAAGCTTCAGATATGCCTCCACAACAAGTCAGAACTTCGTACGTAAGTACATCAGTTCAGGTTGCCATACCACATTAGCAGAGACACAATCGTCAATTCAAATCCCAAAGTGGTAGAGGTAGTAGGAGTACTACTGGTAATAAAGACGATGAGGGTTCCAAGATGTTATTCAAGAAGTATAATTCAGCGACATAAGTTTAGAAAGATAAAAGTAGAGATGTTGATGAATTCAGAAGCTTAGAATTTCATAGAACACAAAGAGTAAATGCACCCACGCCATTGCAAGTGATTCTGAGCCATGTCGTTCAAGGTCTCTAACCATTGGCGAATTTGTCTCGCGGACCCCAACCAGGTAGCCTACATCTACCACAATGACTCAGTCCACTTGTCAGTGACTTCATGCATTTCTGCCATGTTTTGGCTTGGCCGCCCCTAGCTTTCTTCCAACCTACTCCTACACTGCGAAACATAGCTCCTCGCGGCAGTCGATGGTTAGGCATACGTAACACATGTCCCAACCACCTCAACTGATGAAGTTTCACTACTTCATCTATTGATTTGCCATCCCTACGTAGAACTCGTTTCCTAACCACAGCATTGCTTAAACGGTTGTCCCATGATACACGAGCAATGCTTCGGAGACATCGATGATCGATAATCGATAAAGACTAGGAAGATTTAAATCGACTTGCCATTTAGGATGACTGGGGATTGTGGGCAACCGAAGTGTAAGTACGAAATGTAGATATAAAAAATTTCTGTAGACTCCTTACAACCTTCTAACAGCGGGTTGCAACAGATATTTGTTGCTTGCTGAATAATCTACATCAGACACCAATTATCTTAATCGTCTGACAACTACTAGTGACTAATTAGGACTAATACAGCTCGATTTTGAATTGACTTTTGTAATAAATACCGCATAAAATTTAATAAAAAGAATAAACAACTTCATTACAATGAAAATTTGGTTTCAATAAAAAATTACCACTCAGCCATTCGATTCAAGGTGACGAAAACAGCACGATAACGTTGAAAGTCTGCAATAACCGGTGTCGTACCAATAATTTTTAGCCGACCACGGAGAAAATCCAGGTTAATTAACAAATCAACTAACTTATCCAACTGAACAGCCTTAAACAAATGTTCGGTGGCATGATTCCAGAAATAAATATGTTCCCAGGAAGATATGAGTTTTAGCCAACGACCACCACAAAAAGTAAAATAGTTTTGTATAAATCTGCCATGATAGTTCTACAAATACATTTTTAGAACAAAAACGGGTTAATGGCTTATTAACAAATAAAAATGAAAGGCATTTTAAGAGCTAATTTGAACATGTTATAAAAAAATATAACTGGAATAAAAAATCAAAACTTCATGCGCTATAACGTACTAGAAAAAAGTAAGGTCAACACAAAAATTTGAACTATAACCTGTTAGCATTTCAGGATTAAGCGACGTGGTTCAAAGATATGCAGTATAAGGTTCGATTAAACTCGGATTTCACTCCAGATGCCCTGCAAACCTAATTAAAAGTAGATCTCTTATGCCATACAGTATCATTTCCAATCAGCTGACTTCAAATGAATTAAATTAAATTGCACAGAAAGTCTATAAGCTTGTTACTATAGACCAAATCATACATTCAACTGAGATTATAACAACTAAACCACCAAATTTGATGTAAATCAGTCAACCGACAAAATCTGTCCGAATTTCCCTGTAATGTTTAAATCTTTTATTTAAGTAATTGCATTAATTTCGTTTATAAATATATGTAATTGTAAATAACTGTCTATGCACTGAATACGAAAGATACTACACATTAGCATACTGTTTCAAATCGTATGCCCTTATTATTATTCATATCAATAAACGATGCACCAAAACAGTAACTTACTGCTTGCTCAGCGGGTTCGATATATGATTTTAAAAGATCTAGCTGTATACCATGTATTGTGTAGCCACAATCTCCTACTTTATATATCCAATGTCTAACTGCTAAAGAATGGCGAGTGTAAATAGACAGAATCATTTCAGCCTTGTCCTCAGGTATTGCCCACAAAATCCCACAAAGCTGAAACAAGTAAAATACACAGTATTTTATCAGGTTAGTACGAATGCCATGACAAAAAATAATAAAATAAACTAGTACGTTTTTCTCCAAGTCACTGAAACAATAATCGATATTAAAATCAGTCTCCGCGCACCTAGATGAGACGAAGCCTCCGAAACCTATTGTTATTGGGTAACATTCAGCCGCAAGTTAATAAATGTTGTTATCGTTATTTCTTTAACAGATTAACTAGTTTTCCGAGACTCATGGAAAGAGATGTCACTGTTACCCTTCCGTAAAACCGTAGGTAATTCCTTAATGAATATACACTTGAAACTTCCGTCTTCAAATTGAACACAAAGTTTCCGATTAAGTTGTCTTCTGTATGGTTTAAAGTAATTATACGAACAAGAATTAATGGATGATTGAAGTGAAAATGGATCATTCAAAAAAAACGAACTAAAAGAAAAGGTAAAACATTCGAACACGATAATGGATATGATAGATTTTTGAAATTGTGGTCGAAAACAAAAATTAAAATCACTTGGAATTGTGACTGAATCAGTAAACCTCATACGTTATTGTCTAGAACCATGGTAAATCTCCTAATTTGTGTTAGTGAAAATCTATATACGAGAACCTATATTGGGGACCTTTATCATACCTCAAAATTTGAAAACTGTATATTGAAAATTGAATAAGCATAAACGTAAAGCACATTAACCTAAAGCAGGTTCACAACTCCAACACTACTGGCCGAGTCATAGCTTACGGAGAACTCTTATCGGAACTTATTACTGCGTGTGGTGTTCATCACGGTTATCTACTTTCCTCATCTTTATCCAAATTTTTCATAGATATGCTTTCTTAACTGTCACTTTTGTTGTCTGACTTCTCAGAAGTTGTCTTTCTACCACAAGACTCACTTGCTGACTTACAATATGCACATGGCACAGTAAGGTTCGGCGAAGACGCTAACAAAATGTAGTCCTCTGGAAACCCTAAGCAATAATCCTAGCATGTTCGGCATATGATTCCTCTACTGAAATGTAAAATTTTACTTCAGAATTGGCTTGCATCGGCAGCTGAACTAGTGATAGGCAATGAAGTAATTGAGTGTATGGACCCCTTCAACTCTTCACCAGTGTTGACGGCCTGGTGTCTGATGAAATCTCAGCGCGAATACATAAAGCTCGACTGACTGATACCGACTTGCGTCACTTGTCGCGTAGGCGAGATATCCGTCTGCTAACCCGAAATAAGGCCATTAAGAAGAGAGGATATTCGTAGGTTACTAGTATTCGATCATAGTTGTCTTCGAAGCATTCCTCGTGTGTTCCGTGAATATCCCGTAAGCAATTTCGGGGTTGGGAATAAGGTACTAGATAAGGATGACAAATTGAATGATCATGTAATGAATCTCCGTCGGATGAGATGATAGGACGTTTTACGTATAACAAACCACCGACTACCTTGATGGGTAATGCTGTTTGGTACAGAAGTAGGTTCGAAGAAATCTAGGAGCGACCAAACTAAAACATGGCAGAAATCCATGAAGTCAATGACAAGTGGACTGAAACATGTTAGTAGGGGAGAAATGCCTGGTTGGGGTCCACGTGACTGCCGTGGCGAGTGGCTAAACATTGAAGACAACACGGTTTAAAATTGTACGCAATGGCGCAGGTGCATTCATCCTTGTCGTTCGGCAGGTTCTAAGCTTCTGAATATCATAATGTTATTATTTCACTACCATGTTTTTCTTCAAATCATATCTTCAATACCTAATCTTTTACACATTTGAAATCATCAATCTTTTATTTGTCCATCACTATTGTCACTAACTATACTACTTTGAGATCTACCCTAACAATTTTATCTTGCCGAGCTAATAAAGCATGGAAACTTGAACTGATAAACATACGTTTCACGTTGAGACTGACTCAATGAAATATTATACTAAAGGAAAGGTTTAAAGATTGATGTGAATGACTCCCGCATTTATGAGCTGAATGGTTCGACTACGAGACTCACTGTTTCACGAATACTGCACTGAGATTGCTGCATAAACGCGATGGAAACCAAATTTCATAATCTAAACTGATAATCATCAAATCAGAGAAGCGAGGTTTGTGGTTGAGAGAACAATCATACACTTGAATACCTATATGAACTAGCGTTTACTATCGACTCTTATATTTAACCACTTGCCTTATTCATATAATCCGTAGTTTTTGGACAATCATTGATCTATATTGATCTACAAACAGGCTAGGTTTAGCTTGAAAACACTTTTTGTTTGGGTATAGATATGTATCGTTAGGGATTTCAACAATGCACGTTACAAAATCTGATCACAGAGTCACGTATCAATGACGATTTGTATATTCAAGAAAAAATTGAAATAATATGTAACTAACTAACACAACAAACCAGTTCCATTATAACCATGACATGCTAATTCAATATACTAAGACTTACTTTTGGTGTTAAAACAATGCCTGGATCAAATATCACCAACCGGCGATAATATGCTTGATGTTCGGGCGATAGTAGTGATATGCTTTTATCAAAAGCCTTAAGGAAACAAAGAAGAAATTACAAAACCACACCACAAATATTCAGCCGTAAAAATGTAATCAAAAAACAGCCAATATTTTCACAGATTGGACAAAATCGGACTACTGATAGAAAACGAGCATCCTGAGTCATAACTTCTTAACGCTTAAAACATATATACGGTGTCTGACTTCGAAATCGCAAATATATCAGTATTCGAAGGGACCAAAAACCAATGTTTTGTACCTTAAAACTGAATGATCACCAAGCAGTGACCGGTGTCACGTCCTTCTTAGTCCTGATAGAATTCGACCGACCAAGTTGAAATGTAGTGACAAATCTACACGACTTCACATCGCGCGATGTTGAGATGTAAGGTAGTTATTGGCATGCTGGGTATAAAAGCTGATTTCTTCATGGAGCATCAGTTGATACAAGATCACAGGTACACCTTGCTGATAAATACCAAACGTACGAAACTTAGGTCTAGAGTTTCTAATCAACTACCCCGCATCCTCGAAAAAGCAGTCAAAATCTGATTTGTAATCTTCATGAAATGTTTCTTGGGTTTTGGACGATGCATCGACTAAATAGCTAAACCGTTTCAGATAACTACGATATAAACAATTATCCCTCATTTAAATTAAAAGTATAATTCAAAGGGTTTCTGCTTAACCCCAGTTAGGGGCTATCAAACAGAATATTCAGAATGATGATCATATTCAGTGGTCGTAGTTCTATCAGATGTGATAAAACGGTTTCACGTATTTTGATTTTACAAAATACATGAAGTCCATTGATGTGAAAAACTCAAAATTCAAAAAATATATAAAGTATAGTTACATGAAGGTCGATCACAAATGCTTGATATAAATAACTTGATAACAAGTATTTATATAATGATTAAAGGTGAACGGATTTTGAAAACCCTTTGATGGACGGTCCAAAGTGAAATTCGACTTGCAAGTGCGATGTCTCTCTTTTCCATGGGTATGAAATCCTAAAATGCATAATAGCCATCCGAAATTTTTCACACATAATAAAAAACTAACCCACAAACAACTTACCTGAAATACAGAATCATAACCATAGGCGCTAGGCCGTTTAATAGCTACCCAATCGAGAAATTTAGATCCAGTTCTATTTACATCGATAATGTAATCAGTAAGACGATGAGCTTGACTGTATAATAGGTTTCCTAGTAAACTGACAGCAAACGGTAATCCATATGTCATTTGACTTATAGAAGGTAATGAAATATCGGAGTCTTTCAAATTTTGAGATGATTTGCTAGACGGGATAAATTGTTCCACTGAATACCCAGTCCACATAGACAAAAGACTAGCAATTTCATCTTCTGATAAGTCATTGTGCAAATGTAGCTAGATGGAAAGACAGAAATCGTAATTAGCATGTTACGCTAAGTGTAATAGCGTTTTATAAAAAACAGTAAACAAATATTAATCATATTTATGAATTGTGATGCATTGACTAACCTGGCGAAAATTCCCATCACGGACCAACAACAACCAGATAAAACTTAACAACAACGTAAATTGTTTCATCCAAGTTTGAAACCTGTTATCGAAATATGTTTTAAAAGTAAAAGCGCAATATCCAGCATGCTGCTGTAGAGCTGCCGAATTAATTCATAATACAAGATCATCGTATAATACTATCCACAAATATCCCACCTGGTCACCAAACTGGGTCAACATTGCATTTCATAAATTTAAAAAGCCTTACAGGATACAAATTATTTCGACCAAATAGTTTACTAGCTAAAACAATTAATTAGCACTATCACCTATACCTAATCATTGCTTACCTCGATAGGTGATGTTCACTGGTGTGAGATTAAGTTAGAAAGAATCTAATGGCAGTCGAACCAAAACATAGGCCAGTCAAAGGGTCATTAACTGTTGGCAGATACAGACTTCCAAGTTGGGGTCCATAAGATAACCCTGATCAGTGAATGAAGACCGGGTGACACGGCTCAAAATCGTTGACAATGGCGCAGATACATTCACCGTTATCTTTCTCTCAGTCTTAAATTGCAGCATATAGTCATAAACACTATATTCTACTCTTATACTGCTATTCTACTGCTACATTTCATTGTCATTATTACTGAGATATCCCTATCTCTTTAGATTTATATTGTCAGTCTTATCGCATTGTGCTAATATGGCATGGCAACTTCTGCCAACACAGATCTACGCAAAGCTTTGCTTTGATAACGACTGCCTGACTACGTGTCCACATTTTTTTATTATAATAATCATAAACACGATTAGTGAAGTTATTGCTAATAATGTATACACAATATTAAGCAGTCATTTACATTGTTGCTGTCAATTGCATTGCATTGCATTGCAAAAACCGAAAATTTCGACATTGGTGAAAAAATGACCGGCGTATACAAAGCCTATTTTTGATGCTGTAATCATAGAGGATGAAAATAAACATTTACTAGTTGATTCAATAATCCTGGAATTCAGTTCATGCAGTCTTCCTTGCGAGTCACAACGTAAACCATCACTAACTGATAATGAACAGAATTATGAATCAATAGGTCATGTAACGTACACAAACTTATCAAGTTTCACTGATATAAATGTCACTCATTCACTTCCCGAGTTTTTTTACGAAATATTCATTAATGAATATTGAGGATGAATTAAACAACCAGAACGATTCACTAATGATTGGTGGATTGAGACTAAAAAACTCAGGCAGTTGTATACCACTCACACCGATATTTAGCCTAATAGAAGCTTTTGTCAGTCTCTACAACAACGCATAAGAATTTTCGGTCAACCACAAGTTTATTACTGGATGATGATGGTAATCTGATGAAGGTAACCTTTAAGTCGTATTCCTCAGCATACAACATGAGACTGCGTTGAGTATGCCGTTTATATGAACAAAAAAGAGTATTAAGTAATCTTAGAGAAGTATTTCAGGAAATGGTAACCTCTAATCGCTCACTATTAATCAGAAAACATAGTATCGAAAACGAACATAATTTACATATTGAGCAGCTGGAAGCTAAAAAAAGGCATGGTTAGGTTTAGAAATCTTACTTTATCTACAGGCGTTTCTACTCGCTCCAAAACATCTGAATTCCGAGAAGTAACCAAAAACGCACCAGGCAAATTGGAAAGTACTCGTCCAACTTCAACATCCCATACGTCATCGAGAATGATCAACAGTAAGGAAGTAATTAGATTACCATTTTTATCTGGACCCCAAGACATGCGTTGCTGTTTACGAATTAGAGACCTTCTAAGTCTTTCAAGACTATCGTCTAATGTTAGTGAAGGATTAGTTGGAAATTGGTGAGACTCTGATACATTTGGGCTCGCATTTCCACCAGGAACATGATCTCCAAGCTGATTTACTCTGTATGATAAACGATCAACTAATTGTATGATTTTCTGTTCAGAATACGAGACGGTATCAGAATTTAAAGTATTAAGTAAAAGTGGCCCAACATGCATCCAGATTACACCTTAAAGAAAAGATTGATTGGACGATTAGTTCATTAGCAGCAAAAACCTCTCAGAATACTCTGCTAAAAATAAAAGCCATATTTTAACGATAGTAAAAATAAAACATGCCCGCATAATACCCCTGAAACACTTGGAAAGAAGTCCGGTATCAAAGCTACGATTTCCGAAGTTGATGGCACGACAAGTACTAGCACCTAAAGGTGTCTTGAATCCTCATCAGAGCACTGATGTGTTGGTTCACAAACCTTGATCAGATTGTCCTATCCTCCTTTGCTAGAAACAACTGACTCACAAATCTAGTCGAGAATTCAAACATCTGAAGCATCGCAAGTTATTAGACAATCTATCCTATATCCATTCTAAAAGCGGTAGAGAACTCCTGATCGGTGAACCGACAGGGAAATTCGAAATCATTCGGGAAAAAGAGTCTTTCACTATCTTGAAATGAAGTGGTGATGTAACTTACCTTGAAAGAGCCTTCATAATTTGTGCAGTAATCACGGAAGTATGATCGTTCACTGTATTTGGTTTGAAAATATTGGACTTCGGCATACGCCATGTATTTCACAAGAAACAAACTGGTTTTTATTTATGTCGTGGCTGTACTCACTACGCGTCTTCAATCGCCGCTAAATACTGAAACATCTGTACATTGCAGTTCAGAAATTATTGTCTCTTGATAGTAGAAGTCCCTTTTATTTGTTAAATAGGACCTTATTTTGCAACTATCAGTTAAAACAGTGCATTTGAGAACTGTAACATTTTAATTGCTCTGCACACAGAGACTTCGAGTGAAACAAAGGCATTCAAACAACTTTCTTCATTGTTTCAGTTTAGTAATTTATGAAATTGTGAACTGTCGTCCACTGAAGTATTTGAAGCATGTGTTACGCATGCCTAATTACTATCTACCTGGAGATACAATGTCAACTGGTGGTGTACTTTGGAAGACAGTTAAGAGCGACAGAATTTAAACGCAACAGCAGTTCATAAAACCACTAGTTCTCGATACCAATCATGTTGGGGTCCGCAAGATAACTGTTATCTGTAGTTGGAAACGCTAGGTGTCATAGCCCACAAATACGCACGTACATTCACTTTTTATCCTCCTCTAGATTTTCAGTCCCCGTATTCTTTCAAACACACATTTTCATTCATTCTTCATGAATTATATTCTTAATGATCAATCTTTCTTATGAACATTGCTACTACAATTATTTCGACTCTTCTGAAGTAATCGCGTTAATTTCATTTTCGTGTGCTAATTTGGTAAGGCAACTTGGGCTAACGCAAATTTTATGGGGCTTAACGCTTATTACGGCTGATTAAAGCAGGATTAAGCAGAGTTATTCGATCTCATTACCACTCTTCAACTTAAAAATGGATTGCATTCCGGAAACAACTCTGGCGGAAATCAGTAGTGACTGTGTGCATCTGTTAGTTGGAGAAAGACTTTTCGACCTGGAGTATGCAGATAATATTGCGTTATTGAGGTGATACTATAAGCTATGATGGGATCATAAATGTTCTTTTAGTGACTTCCACACAGTGAATTATTCATGGATGTTGAGTAGATAGGATGGCTTATGACACGCAAACATAGTATGGAAGATAGTTGTGTAAGACTAGCACTTAACGACTTATTATGACTCCTCGGCTGGGATTATACAGATCGCGCAACTGAGTAACTTAGAAAGGGGACAAATGGAAATGTCATCTTGGTTTTCACTAAATTCTTCATAAGATTAAGATGAACCCCCTTACTGAAAGAAGTCTTTTCTGGCCGTATCTCTGATTGGACTGCATTTTTATCTAGTACAAAATCTGTGCATTCATCTACTAATCGTGTTACCCTACTCTTTTTTAATACATATATAAATGTATATATCAATTTATGTGAGGTGAAATTTTTGATACCCTATACAGCCAGGATTTGAGATGAAATAAGTAAGCATTACATGCAGTTAAGACACTTTTTAGACATTAGCACCAGTGGATGCCGACTCAGTGATCTAGAAGTTAGGCGTTCGCTCACGAGATCGAAGGCCCTGGGTTCAACTCTGCAATATGAAGTCGTGGATGTGTCCTACTAAGGGGTCCCGCACGAAACGTCCATTTGGTGATTTCGGGTTTTTAAAAGTGGTGTAACATTGGTCAGATCGTAATTTCAATGAAAGTCAACAATCTTCACAACCCTATACTTTTAGAACTGTCAAGAAATACCTATAGCTCCATAACATGGTTGATCAAGGGTCTACACAGTACCTCTTGCTAAAGCTAAAAATTTAGAATATATTTTATTAAAAGATGTGAACATACCTCCTGGGAAACAATCGACAAGAAGAGTTGATTCTTGACGCAGAACACTGGCTGATAATACTGACTTTCCTGACCCAGGAGATCCATGAATTAATAACCAAGCATTTGTGGGAGGAGGATTGAGATTGCCTTTGATATCTGAGTAGTCTCGAAATTGTGGTGTAATATCCACTTCAGTTAAATTATCAACAGGTATTTTATCAACTCTGAAGTGGTCAGCTAACGCTCGTAACTTGTTAGAAAGAACACTAACTAGATGCGGTCGATTAATATAGCGGGTAGGTTTATCTGGAACTGCTCCTTCAATTAGTAATTCTCTTAAATCTGACAAGCTATGCTCTTTTTTCCTATAAATAGAAGATCGAATCCAATTACATGTTACTGATAGACAGAGGAAAGACAATGTCCATGAAAACGTTTCTGCTTTAGACTACTACAATAATTTTCAGACCAATAGTACACAAAACAGTAAAAAGCTTATGACGTATATTATAAACAACCGCTACGACGAAATTCCTACTTTTATAATTACCCTTATATATACATTAATTTAAGCAGGCTATCTAGATTGTACGAAATTTCTGAAGGATATTACTACGTAGCACCTCAAGAGAATTAACATTTTACTTAATATGTGCATATTTTTAAAAGTAGTTATTGAACAAAAATAAATCGTTTTGATTATAAGCCCATTTTTTGTCTATGTTACGTCACTCTGTAAGTCTGAAATCAGATTACTGTTAGAGCAGTTATGAAAATGGAGCAACACTGTGTAGCAATTAGATGAAGCCTTGTTTTCACGGCTTTTACGTTGATCAATGATATACTAACACACATTTTCCTTTGCAGAGAATGAACAAATTCCCAGGATTTATGGCGCAATTTTTAGACTAAGTGATAATATATTTGCTTAACAGGTATACAGTACATATACATTTGAAAAAATCATATGGTTTCAGGATATGATTTCATCTCACGAAATCAGGGGACAATCTGAAAAGAGCGACATCCATGACAGTTGATTGAACTATCGTACGGATTCCAGAGAAATACTAACAGCTGACTGATACTTTGTATTAGCCTCTAAACAATCAAAGAAGAATGAATATATGTTGACAACATGCACATAGACCACCTAAAAGGAGATGCTGATAAATGAGATAGTGACCAATCAGACCAAATAAAACTTATTTGAGCACTAAACGACAATCGGTCTAAACTTACAGCACAACGATGGTTATTCAATCTTAGATCGTAACTTGTTTTTACTAAAAACATATTATGAAAACTGTTGTTAACATTTGTATCAGGTTAAGGGTAAAAATAAAGATAAGTTAACTTATTTATTGAGACGAATATAAGCTACGTTGAGCATATGGAATAATGATAATGCCCACTCGCCTCAACAGAACAAGGCCGAGGAGAGTTCCAAACTGGGACTTAGCGGGCGGAAGCCAAATGCCTTGATCAACAAACCACATTTAAGCTTAGACGATTGGTAATCAGATAGTGAAAGAGCGGCTTTCTACTGATAGGTAGCATGTTTAAACCCAGATGCACTTCGGCTTCGGTAGACGGGTAGCACTCAAAGTAACGAGGCTTGAAACTCAGTACATAAAAGTTGCACTTGGTAAATAAGCTTATTATGACCTAAAGTTAACATAACCGTTGTTCTGAGTTTTTATTGAGATTAAATCAAGTATATAATATCATCAACATGGACCAAATAGGCTTAAATTATAGAACTAGCATTCTTAAGCTAAATTACTGCATTTTCATCATCAGTGAAACTGTTTCGTATCAGCTGATGAAGCACTTTCATACAATACTAATTTATAAAATTCTTTATATGAGACTATACTGCTGTGCAGATATAGGAAACCAGTAGCTGTAACCTAAGAGGCAGTTTTGAAGTCTGGATGAATACATCACAGATCAACATCAGAAACATCGAATGTGGAAAAATAATCAGTTTCTGAGGCCAATCGTCAACAACTGCTGAAGTGTAATTAGGTTAGGTCTCACAAAAATGTGCGAATGTCACCATCAAACTATCATCTGTGACTTCCAGACCTACGAAAATGGATGACTATGCTATCATATAAACAATCTCCCTAATTACTAAAACGAATAGAAATAACCAAAAATATAACAAAGATTATCATGAAGACCTTATAAAAAGACTTTGCATACGTAATTATACATGCGTTGAATGCTAACTTACTTAGACGGGGAAGGTGCGATATGCTTGCGGATTTCGGCTGCTAGAAATGAACCTTCAGAATCCAAAGCTACTAAAAAGTCATCAAATGCCCCCGATGGACGCAAACGTATTAATTCAAGGATTTTCCTGGATTTTTTTTGTGCTGTTTTCTCTTGTCCAATGAGCTCTATTTCGTTATGAGATATCCAACTTTTCGAAAAAAGATAATCTATGATAGCATCTGGATCAAGAGATTGGATTATCATTGGACCACAAACTCGTAAGGCATGAGCTTTATCTGGGTCCATTGTTAAGTCTGAAAATTTTTATGTCTGTCCATACAGTTTTTAAAATGTTTTACAAAATCCTGACAATGTCTCCAATCTTTCTTTTCACTCATACAATCAATAACCGCATAATGTTCGTCTAAGCATCCAGTACGAGCGATCATTGAATCAACTGGATCTTCATTACTATCGTCAAGAGAAATATCTTCGGTATTTTTTTGTTCAGGGGTAGAATTGTTGTGATGACTCATAAACGTAAGATCATTAAACAAACACTCGGTGCGCAACTTTGAAGGCCGAGGTCACACATTGACCAATTAAAAATGAACAGTCTTCGCTATCATATTTCTCACTTTAAACTATAAACATAATAAATTATTCGCGTTCACCGTTTCTATTTTTACAGTCACATTTCTTTCATGGAATTCTGTCACCCAAATATTGCCAGACGTTATCCAATATCCAATATCTTTTTCACGAACTAGTAAAAGCCAATAGTTTTCCTTGCGCTCTATTCTCGTTCTTTCGGTACGGTTCCAGGTGTTTAGTAGTGTCCAGTAGATGAGGGTCTAACCACTTGACTGCGCCGATTCTAGTCAGTTGGCAGTGGTTTGTGAATTCATGTCCCATGATTCTAATGAGTACGTTTGTTTCAGGACAGTAGGGTTTCTGGATACCAGCAGCATTCACGTTACCAGACCGGAGATCAGTTAGTTGCAGTGTCAAGAATAATAGGGAGAAAAGTCTAATACTAACAAGAAGGTTTCAGAACTAAATCAATAAGTGGATAATTTAGTTAATTTATTGTTCTTGCAGATTGTGCGAGATGAGTGGAGTATGGCCCATCTATGTAGTCGAAACTTAGAATGAAGGGCTTGAGAAATAGAATAATTAATGAGTTCACTCCACTAGTGTGTGCAACAAATATTCAAGGCAACAGATAGAAAGAAGACCACCAAAGGGAAGTTGAAAGAAAGAAACCTAATGGTCTCGTCTGGTTAGAAATAAATAGTAGAGTCACTAAACATGCTGAGCAAATATATACGCATTAACACGGACCAAAAAGACCAAAGCACGACACAAGTAATAATTAAATTCATAATCTTATCCATATGACACTTCATGATGATAAGCGTTGTTTGGGTGAATGCACATTATACCTCTGTCTAAGGGATTCAGGACTTAATTTTTTAAAATCGTTACTATCGGAGAATGACCGAAGATATAAAAAGCGGAACTGACTTCACCTTTATGCTCTCAGCACAACGGTTATTACCTTATAATTATTAGTGCAATTGTTCCCTCTGACTACTTTCTGTTGAATCAATGCCGTCCCTTCTATGCTACAACTTTCGGAATATTCGAACCCTTATACAAGTGAAAACCTCTTCTGCCTCACTGTCGCAAGACTGAGGATAGTTCAGCTTAACAAAATAGATAAACCGGATGACATGAAATCACCAGATAAGATAATAAATTTTGGAAACCTCGGCCTTTGTCACTCTGATGAAGTGTATGACAAGCAGATCTCTGCAAATGGGTTATTGATCGCCTAGCAGACTCGTCATACTGGATGGATCGCCACCTGAATCAGGCATCGAAAACACATGTGGTCATATTGGTGCAGGTAGAGCAGTTAAATAATATTTAGAAATCGTGATCTGTTCACGGTTTTGCCTATCATTCCTCATCTAATGTATGTGGCACTAGTTATAGGATGCATGTGGAATTCATTTATGAAGATTCCAACTCAAAACCTGAAACGAAGAGCGTTATCGAAAATTTTCGCACATATTTCAACATTAAAAGTTGATTTCACGTTAACTGTAGGTGATGTAACTCTCCACGGGACCAGTTATAACAGTGGTACTATACCACAGAGATATGAAGAAACGGCTGCTACTCATTCTCTTAAATAAGCAACCTACAAGCGTTAATTTGTCTTGGGCCTGATTTTAAGTCGCAGCACTCAACCTATGATAACAACCATTGTCTAAGCGTTTTCTGCTAGCAGTCAAAAGATGGTTTATGTTCCCTATGATAATCCATACACTAAATCCAAAGTTTATGGAATATCTACACCTAGCAGCAACATAATGCTTCGAGTGTGCGTTAAATACTGCTTGATACCGTAGCCTCTAGAAAAAGCAGAAATATTCGCTACTCCCACGTGAACACCACGCAAAATTCAGAAAATTTCCTGCGTAATGATTCACATGATACGGAACCAGTCGCAAGTGACTGTGGACACCATTACAGACCAATTACGTTCCCGCCACTGAATATAGTTTCTCCGGGAATCAAGTGCAGAGAAGAAAGGTTAACCCATACAAGGAAATATATTTGCTAATGATTTCGTGGTTTCCAAAGAATATCGAAATCGTGCCAGAAAACAGGAGTGAAGTTACGGAAAACAGCGGAGCCAAATTGTCAACAACACAAATGGAAATTTTTCTCGTACAAAGAAGTAATAAACAAAGGTTATAATAATGAATGTTTCTAGTAAATCAATCGCGTTCTCACCATAAAAGTGAATACACTTCAGATTCTAAAGACCTTTCATTATTGTACTCAATATATGAAACCTATGAAACTGTCAGACCATTACAGTCCCGGAATCACAGTAAAATAATCTTGAAGTTCTTAGAAGTATCTCTAAACTAAATGATCTAACATCCTCTCGGGGAAAACATGTAATAGGAACGATATTCAGTTTTCTTTACAGATAAACAAGGCCTACAAAAACCATTACAGATTTTGAGAAACGTTAAGTGACCCTGTACCGAAATTTAACGGAAAGAAGCCTGCTAACATCAACAGTCTAACGCCTAAATTCAAACTTTTCTTTTAATTTCTAGAGTATAACTGAAGCCATGAAGAATCTCAAAACTGCAGCATGTATAAAGACTTGCGCTATCCCCTCAATATTTTAATAAAGATATGGCGAGGACACGCCACTTGCATTCCTTAAGATATTTGCCTCGTTGACAGATATCGGTTCATACCGCAACTACCGGTGAACCAGCTACAGACATGATCCATTTGATGCACTGACATTTCAAACAAGTAATTACAAATAAGGTGAGCTTCCAGAAGAGTTCTTTGGTGATATTCATTATTCCTAAAGAATTCATGAGACAGTGTTTAGGGCGATTCACTTGTGAAGTATTTGTGTGATAGTCTGGTAATATCAGAAGGACAGCTCTAGTTAATAAGTATGTGCACTACGAGGATAGAATTTCTGCGATCAATTCACAAGTTGTGGCGATAAAATCAACAGATATTATTAATGAATTTTGGAAGCCCAAGAAGGCAATTTTAGCTATTTCTCCTCATAGTAAAACGTCACAGGACTAGTTTCTACAGCTACTTCTCTTCTTGCTGATTATCAAGAATCCAGCAACATTAATTCTTAAACTATTTTTTGTTCAGGTGATTTTAAAACTTGGAAATAATTATTAGGCGTAGATGGTACCCTAACTTTCTACAAGATATATGAGGAATACGTGATTGAACTTATAGAATCCTGCCCCCTCCGAATATCTGAAATTACAGTGTAGTGACACTTAACAGTGATGATATTCGTTCTACCCTGTACTTTGTTGGAGATTCTAGAGTCCCATCCTTTACCTCTGCATCAGTGTTCTTGGACAAATCTTGATTCGATCGAATATGTTCGTGAGGAGTTTTCTATCGTCATAGTAATCTGATACAAAAATTGGACATGTTCATGACGTGAATAAGGTCGGAACATCTATTTTTATCATCTTACCTAACAACTATATTGCTGTTCCAGTGACGAAACTATGAACACCTCTATATACCAATAACGTTGGATCTCATACGTCAACCTTAGCAAAAGAAGGGAATGACCATAGTGGTAACCGATTCGAGATTGACTATGATCAAAACTAAATGCTAATTACTTTCCGGTCACATTAAATACAAATAAATCCAAGGTAAAGAACATATTTGAAGGAGAAAGTGGGCGACACAATAAGCAGCAAGTTATGAAGGATGAAAGCAACGCGAAAAATGAACGTTGCACGTAAGTAAGCGTTCTTAGTACAGTTAAGCAAAACGAGTAAAACAATAGATATTTTCTTTACAGGAATTTTGTTTCCTACGTAGAAGGGTTCCACCACAGACCTGTTACAATAAGTGTTTTGTGGGCGATTTCGCGGCGCCGAAGTAATGCCGAAGCAAGACGGAGGTCTAAAAAGGGGATTTAGACCGCGTGACCGTAGTGTAATAGCATTATGTATGCAAAAAAGTACAAAGGCCATTGTTTAAAACAAAAGTAGGAATAAACAAATGATAGATGAAACGTTCAATAGTACAATTGTTTATAATAATGTATTTTGCTAATTAAACAGTTGTTTTTCTCTTCCTAGGATAGTAATCACTAAAATTACTCAGAAGATCAGGTAAAAGATTCCCATAATATGAGATAGGGAAAATAAAGAAAATGACTAACTCCGAAAAAAAAAGATTAATGAAGATAATACTAGAATTGGAGGACAATCAAACCACTTATTAGCAGATGCTCGACATCTAAATAATACCGAAATTTCGGACCAGACCTTATAGAGAGTTAAAATAAATGTATTTCTTCGCGGGATTACTAAGCTAAATCCCGATAAAATCTAGAAGTCGAAGAAATGACTGTTATGCAAGAGGAAGCATATTTATCGCTAACCTCGTTATATCTAAATAATAACGAGACTAGGGTACAGAAGCAGCTAACAACAAGCTAGGAGAAGAGCGGAGTCAGAAAAACACGCTTGGCACGTGATAATTTTTTAGCATAAATTAACAAAAGGAGTACAGTATAACAATTATTGTCAGAATTAAGTACAATAATAATTATTTACATTTAAGCGATTGTGTTATTTTCGTAAACGTATGCCACTACGTTAGCCTTCCCCCCTAGAAATGGTTTACACTTTCGATACGTAGCGGTTTCGTGAGGAGAGGGGCTGGTCGGCTTACGCGCAATTTTAGAGAGTAAGAGTTGACTAACAGGAAGCAACCGATGAATCTCGAGTTGTCACCGAATGTCTTCTACCTTGAACTTTATCAGTAGTAACGTGCCAAGCTTAGCGCTCGAGTTGACATGCCACACCAGCATGGCCCGTATCCAGAGTCTGAAGATTGCCATCGTAGGGGTTCGTAACAGAAAAATTTGCAGGCGTAGGACGGAACCAGATTGAGATAGGGAGCCAGTAACGACCAGAAAGACCAAATTCAAAACAATACGTATGCCATATATTCGGAACCAGAACATCGGCTGAGTGCATTGAAAAGA